GATAGAGACAGAGAAAGAAAGGTAGAGGAACATATCAAACCTCAAGCATGGGGCTATTCTTTGCGATATTGCAAGCAAAAATTATATTAAGACCAGTTTTTAACACTGCCATGGAAACCAAAAATTACATTTAGCCCACAATCAAAAGAAACCAAACGAAACACAATAATAAAAATTCACCTAATCGCCTAGCGATTCCAGACCCAGTGTTATCTGAAGAACCTCCAATAACGGAAGTCACAACGACCGTATTGCTCTATTTCCATCATCAAAACATTGACTACTTAACCAATATGCATTATCAATTATTAATCCCTAAAATTTGAAGGTTATAATCTTACGGCTCGTGTCGATGCAGCTGCGTACAAGTCACCAAATTTTGTAGAGCTGCAACAGATCCATGCATATATCTGTTTGCAATTAGAAAGCCATCAACTTCTGAATATACAAAAGGTCAGAAATTCAGCTAATTAAATATCGATACCTGTTTAGGGAAAAGAATGATTTGGAAGTGGAAGGTAGCGTCATCGACGAGCTCGCCAAAGCAGGTGATTTCAAGACCACCAGCGGAGGCGTAGGCGGTGGTGCTAGGGTGCGTCGACTGATCTTCGAGTTTGAAAGACTGATCGCAGACTGGTTCGAGTCTGAAGTACCGTCGTACTCAGATTCTTTTTCAGCCATTATCGTACTGCAGAAGCTCGAGCTGATGAATCCGGAAGAGAGCCCTCTCTGCTCACTGCTCAGATCAGGAAAGAGGAAGAAATAGATAGGCCCAAACTAAAAGAAAATAGAGGCCCAGTTTAAAGCCGAAAGGCCCAAAAGACATAAAAGGACTTTTAATTTTTTTTTCCACTCAAAACGCAACCTTAAACGCCGTTTTTGTCCTCTTCGGTTAATACAACAACTTTGTTGCAACAAGATCAGCTAAGCCTCGTTGCTTCAAATAGTTAAAATTTTAAATTAAAAATATTAAATTTAAAAACAATATATCATCCTTACAAATTGACTTCAAAGGAACACAAGCTAATATTTTTTTTTTAAATTTTTATTTTTTCATAAGACATAACATTTTATTACAAATGGTCAACCGGGTTAATGACGATAAGAGAGGATTGAGAACAAAGTTTGCAACACTGCAAATAGAAGCAATAAGACCGCAGCAATAAAGGAAATCAATGCCCATGGAGTGTTAAAGTAATTGTGCCATAAGTTCGCCTTCCACAAGTTCCACTTTCTGTTGCAATGTTTATTCACTCTGTTGAATTGCTCGGAGTAGAAGAAGTCCCTTTCTGACATCAAAACAGAGTCGCGGAGTGTGTTAAACATGGCGGCAACGACTTCATGATCACCCAACCAATTATCAAGAACTCCACAGCGACAAAGTAATTCAACGTCCTTTCCTGTGTTGATGAGGCAATCCATGAATGTAATATAATCCGTGAAGGGTTCTGCGGAATAACGCCCGTACAACTGTTCATAAGCAACGAAATTACGAAAGATGGATTCTGTATAATCATCGATCATTAGGGTTGGAATCGACATCACCCCCTTTTGAAACTCTATATCAAACAATTTCCCCTCTTTTTTCTGGAACTTGATCCCGGCCTCATTGAGCTCAGTTGCAGAACGAATGAAACGCCATTTTCGATCTGCAGGCATTAATGGACCTTCCGCTGCGCAACAAAAGCCGAGCGGCCTCCTTGCCGGTGCTAAACAGGGCTGCCAGCGTGGAAATTGCGGGCTACTTGGCCGTGGAAAACTTGCCGTTGCCGAACTGCGTGACCCTTGAAGTGTACGATATACAATATCATGGAGCAAGGCCAGCATATGCACGGCTCGTACATTCCCGCCAGGTTGTGTAATTGAAGGTCTGTTCGCTGAGTCAAACATTGTTCGATAACGTAACTGGACATCAATGGGTATAATTGGAAGTTCTGGCACCATTCTATTGAAGTAAGTAGTTATATTTTCGACAATCAAGTCGTGTGGATGCTCTTTTTCTCTAAGGTCCTGAACCACATGCATGGAATATAACTCGAGGAGTACAAAGAAAGGAAGTTGATTTTCAACTAACAGCAGATCGCGCATTACATTTCTCCAATAAAACTTTGTAAGCTCCTTTCTACCGTGGGAAATAAGCCCAATGATAAAGAATCCATCAAGAAGCATCATTTCTACCAGGTCGTCTTCACCAATACGATCCAGATTTTCTGAATAAAATCTGCGAATTTTTTCCACCATTCCTTTCAAGGCCGTCACATATTTCTCCAGACTTTTTTCTGGTGTACTGAAAAAAGCAAATCTTAGATAATTCATTTTCTGCAGCTGCATTGCTTGAAGGTGCTCTTTACCATGGTGGTAAGGGCCAATGGAGATCACTAGAGGTTCATAGGCCTCTGCATTTATCTTGCGTAAATGATTAGGCACTTTGAAAATTCTAGTGTGTGAAAAATATACTATCTCATGATCACGAGCATTTCGATTTATTCTAACGTGAAGAGCTTCATCTATTCCACCTGCCCTTACTGCTCTAAAAAAAAAAAAAAGAACAATCACTGAAAACTTCTACTGATTTGTCCAAATGGAAAAAGAAAAATAAATTGAATCAGTTAGGTCCAGCTTGGTTTGTGAGAAGGCAGGTCTCAGGGACCGTCCAATTGCCATGTAGTATTTGTTACTAGCATGTGTTTAGCGTGGACTTCCGAAAATAATATATACTTTATTGCATAAAGAACAAGTTAAGGCAACATCAGAAGGATTAGAAAAAAAGGAACAAACTAAGGCAAATACATTTTTCTAATGAGTTTAAGGTTTTTCTAGATGTTGTTAATTTGTCGAAATAAAAAAAGAAAAGTAAATTGAACCAGTTAGGTCCAGCCGGTTTGGGAAATTGTCATGTAGTATTTGGTATTAGGGTGTGTTTAGCCTGGACCTGGACTTTTAAAATAACACAATCTTTATTGCAGAAGGAACAAACTAAACGTAGCCATCTCTTACATGGTCAGTTATTTGTGTTTTTAATTACAAATTTAAAGTTTAATTTCTAGACTTCTAGGTATCAACCCAAAAAAAAAAGAAAAAAGAAAAAAAAAAAGAACAGCCTAACGCAACATAAAAATGATAAAATAAAATAAAATACGAGAACAAACTAATTCCAAAACAACACATACCGTCGGCACCCATATTTTCAGAGTCGGAGTCGGCACCCATATATTCAGAGTCGGAGTCGGCACCCATATTTTCAGAGTCGGAGTGTTCTTCATGGTCAACATCAGGAAGATCTGAATCCACAGAAAAAGAAAGATATCAATTTAAGAATCATAAGAGCAAACTCTACGCATCCAAAACAACACATACGGTTGGCACCCATATTTTCAGAGTCGGAGTGTTCTTCATCCTCAACATCAGGACGATCTGAATCCACAGAAAAAGAAATATATCAATTTAAGAATCGTAAGAGCAAACTCTACGCATCCAAGTGGAGAGAGAAAAGACCTTCTTCGTCGACAGTGACTTCGTGCATCATATTGGATTTGTCGAGGAAAACCTCCCCCGGCTTGTCGTCTTCTCGAGCTGGGCTGTTCATCTTCTCTTTCTGTCGTCCGCCGAAACCACCACTGAAAAAGAGAAGGTGGGGCAGAAGGGGGGCGGAGATGGAGATCTGCGCAAATGGCTTTCAGGTCAAGAAGGTGAAGAATGAAGGAAGTGACACGTGACGAGATATGGCCCAGCTGCAGTAAAATCGAGATTTTAACCGATTTTACAGTAAAATTGTGATTTTACGATTTTACCGTCAATTTTATGAAATTCTGATTTTAATGTAAGCTTTAATCGAAATTGCATACCTAAAATAATAAAATAATACTATTTTACAATACAATTTAAATCCTGATTCATTTGTCATGTAGTATTGCTACTGGTTGGGTTTTAGATTGAATTAATTTTATTAGTTATTCTTGATAAAATTTAATGTGATATAAAAATTAATTCACCAGAATTCAGATATGTAACCTTAAATTATAAAACTTTTGTCCAACTAAATCCCACAAATTAAACACAATTTAAGATTTAATTCATATGAACTACAAAAAAGATTAAAAAGAACATAACATAACTCTAGCATACAAAATGAAAAACCCGAAATCAAAAACAGATCTACAAGCATAAACCAAGTAAAACAAGAGGAATTCGAGAACCAGAAGCAAAATTCATTAACAAAAGCAAAGCCCACACAAGAGGAGTGAAGAGAAAGTGAGTACCCGAGAAAGAGAAAGAGGGATGATACACTCTCTGCTTGAATTGAAGAAGATGATTTGGAGTTCTCAGGCGAGTTCAAAGAAGCAGTGAAGAAGGGTATAAATAGAGCAATTTTGTGAAGAGCCAAAAGACGCAATTGGGGCTAGATTGATCGGGTGAGGTTGGGATGTGAAACCGTGGGGTGGGAGGCGAGTTTGCAGGAAGTCGGCTGGTGATACAGTGAAAAGACGGCTATATACAAGAAAAACTTTTTTATTTATCTAACCGAAATTATTAAAAGAATAAATATACATAATATCATATATTTTTAATAAAAAATAACAATTCACAGCATGGTACGGATGTTAGGTACAACAAATTTTCGTTGGATCATTTTCCCAGGCCAAAATAGGCTTGCTAACGTGGAGCTGCCGATGTGGATGGGTTTAGGCTATTCATTTGTAATTAGTTAGTGGTTAGTCTGTTAAGTAAGGATTAGTTAGCTATATAAAAGGATATTCTCATAAAATGATTTCTTTATTGCTTAAAAAACAAGTTAATTAAGACAAAATTAATGATTTTTTAGGTTGAATAAAAATAAATTAACATTTTTAAAATTTTGATTTAGAGTTTTGTAAATAAAAAAAGAGATATTAAGAGAGTTTAATATAATTTTAGATATCAAAAGGTTCAATGAAAAAAAAAAAGCTAAGGCAAAATCAATAATAAAAATAGAAATAAAGAACAAGCTAACACGCTTTGATCATTGTATTGAAGTTCGGTGCAGAATCTTTTGTTAAATATTTTTATTTAATTAAAATTTTTTAATAATCATTTATATAATATATTAAATTTTTATTAAAAAT